GAGCAGCAGCCCAGAAGCATACCTGGGTACCACAAGACATCCAATTGTATGGCAGACCAGCAGCACACAGTTTGCGAGATGAAAAGCAGTTGTCATCCTGCATTCCTCACCCTTCAGATCAATTACCATCTATGCAACCTGAGATAGAAATATTCAGTGCCCTTGTCACCACACTACTCATAAAACCATCAACTCTTTTACAACCCCTATCAAATCTACGAGAGTAGAGCAAACAAGATCTATTTGTGCCACTTTACAAAATGGAGAAAATCTTGACAAGTATGAATGTTGTTGGCCACAGCATCAAGAAGCCAGAGGTGTATTACTTCCCTTGCTGTTTTGTCTTCAGTATCAGGCCTCTTCTATCAGTATTCAACACAGTTTTGAAGCAACTTAGGTTATGAAATGCAAAGCTATTTGTTAGGAAGATTTTGGCAGCTGTGGGAGTTTCCGCACCATAACACTGAGTCATGCTGGAGAATAATGCACAATCTGAGCAAGTGGTGCTTTTCTGCTGACATAATCACAACCAGGGTATCATACATTCAACATCCATTTTAACTAATTGTTCTTGATTTCAGTCAACAAAGAGGACATCTTCAATTCTGAGTTATATGAAACTTTCAGTTTTCCTTTCCACCTGATTTGCTAGGCTAGGAGTTGGGGGACACAAAGGAAGTCAAATACCTTACCCTCACTTTCCAGTGAAGACACAGGGACAGAGATGGGACAACTAATGGAAAGTGGAAAAATTATCACATACATTTTGGAGGCAAATTCAAAGAAAAAAAAGTGAGGAATCAGATGGTTCTCACAGAAGAAATGTGGAAGAATTAATACAAGGCATCACAGCTCTAACAATAAATTTTAAAAGATTTTTTAAAAATCTATCACATCTGATAGCATATCAACTAGATAAAAGTGAGCTAAGTATTTACTGATTTGAGAAAACAGCTGTATTGGTCTAACCTTGGTATACTTCAAAACACACTGAAGAAAAAAAAAATAAAACCATTAATTGCAAAAAAAGGGGTGAGAGAAAAAATACTACATGACCAAAGATACCCTACGGCAGACTACTTCCTCTGATATATAAGTACTCTTGTGAAATGACATGGACAAGACCTTGACAAAGGTTAGAATAAAATTATTTGCTTTACTGTGGGTGACTACATGGAACATTTTAAGGGGCAGAGCTAAAAGAAAAAAAAAAAAAAAAAAAGAAAAAAAACCCTTTTGGGTTAGTGGGAGTTTACTAGTAGAATTTTTTGCACATTGTTTTTTTGGGGTCATTCTTTAGTATCTTCATGGGACCAAGACAGAAAATAAAACCTTTATGCCAATGGAATATGCTGCTGACATCATGCTGGGAAGAATAACAGAAGAGAAACAGGTGAAAACTGAGTATCTTTCAGGAAGAAATGGATGACAGAAACCAGAAGCAACATAAATGAGACAAAAATTCCCAGCACGTGTTCAAAATAACACACCCTGGAACCACCCAAGCAGATTGTGTCAACCATACTTTATATCACCTGTGAGCCTCCAAAATCCATTTCCATTCCACTGGAACAAAACCAAAACCTTTCAAACATTTTGCAAAATAAAGACTTAACATGGCAATCAGCCTGGAGTGGGGAAGGAGGGCTCGTGTTTGTTTTGGTCAGAGATGACCAGGCTGGCTCCAAAAACACCTTCCTGCTTAAGACCAGGCTGCAACTCGAAGGTGCTGGCACAGCATCCTGCCTTCAGTGAAAGGACATATGTCATCTTGGGAAATGGGCCAGGCAGCTCTGCCACACAACAGTCCCGCTGTTTGCTATCAGTCCTGGAAACAGTCTAACAGGGGCCTGGTTCACCCAAAGCCTCATTAAAAGGAACAGGTTAAATGGTAGTGCCATAATGCCACACGAGATAAATATAACACTTTTTAAAGCACTTTCTGTGATAGCACCAACTTATCCGAGTAGCTTCGGCAGCAGTTTTTGGTGCCCATTATGTTCACTGTGCAAAGTCCCAGCGAAAGGAGTATGACACCTGCACTACTAATGTCAATAAGTGTTTGTGTATCGAGATTAGTATTTTAGTTATTCCAGCACTACATAGCACAGTACGAGGCTCTCAGGAAAGAGAAGAGAGCTGATGTTGTGTGTCAAAGCAAGGCTATCCACTTAATGAATGAATGAAATGCCCAAGCGAAAAGATATCTGACTCAAGAGCTGGGGTCTCTTCTACTTAGGGAGTTTTAGGTATTACTGCACCTTTCTTGCCTCCTCCCCAGTATTATTGTGATTTTGGTCCTCTGTGGCAAAGCTTCAGAGAATTAAAGAGAGTATACTTAACGAGAGGAGCTACAGTACCCAGGCACAACTGTGCTGAGGACAAACTAATGTCACCTTTTTCCTGTGATTCCCAGAGGCCTGTTCTATTTATAACTTTGTTTTGTTTCCGTTTGATCCTTTGGTTATTCTAATGTACTTTCTGCATTTTACATTAATTCAGTCTCCCTACAACACCCTAAGCAATACTACGCATAGGGGGATGAGAGGATAACAGGCCCATAAAGCAATTGGCTCAGACAATCTGCAAGTGCACTGGCTAATTGGATACACAGCTCATAAAAGACGACCCTTCAGGAGGGATGGATGACAATGCAGAGAGAGGAAACAAAATCTGAAAAAGCTCCTACCCTGTGCACTTGAATGAACAACAGGTCTTTGACTTCATTAGGTCTGATATCCTGAGAATCATACCGAGAAATACCACCCTATTCTGAAGCACACATCCTTCTAAGCATATGAGTACAGAAGGAAGGGCTAGTAAAAGCTCTGCAATTACTCTAAATTTGCACTGTAAACAGCATAACACCAGACCATAATTAAATTCCGAATGAAACATTTCATTGTCTCCATTACGTGAAATGTCTCCAATTTCAAGGGAGCATTATAGCAGCTCTGGCAGCCTCTTTGCCCATTTTGTGTGCTGGTTTCAGCAGCCACCACGCCTATCCGACCAAAACAGCGATGCACGCAGCGTGGGGAAGGAGCGGACAAAAGGACCTCTGAGGAGCGATTGTGTTCAATGTGGTGCCTCTGTACGGGCTCCCAGCTCCCCGGTGGGTGATGAACAAACACATCTCCACGGCCCGAGTCTCCTGTGACGTGCTCTGTGTAAGTAACTGGGAGAAGTTGCTAACTCCTCGTGAATCCAACTCTGCAGGACCAAGCACTGTGTTGACTGTTCAATCTGGTTTTTCTGAGCACTAATATAACAACGCTCCAAAACCTGACACACATTCATCCAGTCGAAAATACCTCTGACCTCCCCAGGCTGAGGGGTGTAATATCCTTTTCTTCCAAAGTAGAATAAAATGAAAAACCTATTAGACATCTGGCTCAATCTTAGTTCCTTACATTAAGTCAAGAGTAATGATTTAATAATCAACATTAAAGAAATCCTTACTACACATGACAGTTTTTGGAGGGGTTTTGCTTTCTTATTTAAAAGACCTTCAACAATAACAATCAGCTAGGGAAATACTTTGATATCCTGCTTTGACACATTCATTTGATTTGCATATTAAAGCAAAAAAAAAGTCACGTGCTTTCATTAACTTATATAATTTTCATGTTTTTCAGTGCTAAGCAGATTTTAAATTTTTCGTTCTTATGTATTTTATGCAATGTTACCTGTTATGACTGCAGTGGCCCCTGAAAATAGGTCTTTTCTTATAAGAACTCAGTCTTAACAACATAAAGATTATCAGCATAGTAAATTTTCTTAAAAATGGAAGGAAATAAAGAGTATAAGGAAGAAACCCTGTAAACAATCAATCACACTACATTAGTTTACTTTTAGAGATAGGTAAGCAAAGAAAACCAAGAGGAAAATCCCTTGCCTTCAGTATTTTCCACAGAACAGCAGAACTCTTGATGTAAAGCAGTCACATTCATTATTTTGTCTCAAAACAAACGTGAGGTTCTTATGATTTATTTCCAGAAAATGGACATGAAACCAGATGACACAAAAAGGATGTGACAGCTACTCCTAGAGTACATTTTTTAAAAAAGTGCAGCAAACTTCAGCTGCTCAACAAAAGGCAGGGCTTCACTACAAAGCTCCCAGATCACTGGCCAGAAGAGCAGAACCCTTTTAGAAAGATCATTTCTGTGCCTGGCTGGCTCTGCTGTCAGCACCTTGCACCGGCAGAGCTGCACACTGGGCAGTGTCCCACACCCCCTGGTGTCCCCGCGGGCAGTTTTGGGCATTCCCCTTCCTCTGGCTGAAGCGGATGGCAAGGTGTGAGCTCCAAAGCCTGGCAGGTGATGGCTCAGACCCGAACGGGCACGTTTTGGGAAGGGACTTGGCAGCAGGCGGTGTATTTTGGTTCGCAGCGAGCTGCTGCAGCCACGTGACTGCAACCCCACAAAACCCACTCCTCAATGCCTCCTAAGTAAGCCTGGACCCGCTGCAACAAAGGAGCCCACTTGAGTTACTTTCTGCTGAAAAGCCTGGGTCACAGCACAGGCTCAGAGGGCTGACTCTCGCTCAGCAACCCGCATTAATCATCAACTTGAACCAGTGATGAGTGATCGCTGCCTTTCTATTGCTTTAAAAATATCCACGGTACAAAGGCATCCTACAAGGGTGACCACCGGCGGATCAGTTTCCAAAACAAAAGTGTTTTAACAAAAGCTTTCCAGCAGTCAGCCTCAATTAACTGCACCTGAAATATTAAGCAGGTTTAGAGACCCTGCTTACTTTGGGAGCTGCTGTGCCACTTCAGCTGTTTTGCATTGTTCATCAGCAGTCACAGGCAGATAAATCTATAACAGGAAGCCAATGCCTTAATACTCGCACAAGGCTCAGATTCCACCAAATGGGGAATATTGTTTGGGCTTTTTGCATTTAGTTGTTCCCCCTCCCCCCTTTTTTTTTTAATCTTAACAACATAGCATTTATCACAGCTAAAGGAAAAAGAGGTTAGGCAAAGCACTTACTTCGAAAATGCTCTGAGGCATAATAATAGACATCCTCGTAACCCTCGTGGTAATCCTCCTCTGGCCGGTACTTTTTGCCTTTTCTTCTTCTCGACCTCCTTATCTGCTTGACGAAGCCCAAGAAGCGCTCCATCTCCTCAGCGGCGCCCACCAGCAGCCCCCTTCGCCCTCTGCCTCACAGAGAGCTGCCCGAGCATGAATTAACAGCAAGCACTCAAGGAAAGCTGCAACCTCCAACCATCTGCTCTGGTACCATTAAAAAACCCTTACCTCAGCTAGGACTAGAAAGCATATTGTTTTCCTTTTTTTTTTTTTACAATAAAAAAGGGAGGGGGGGGGGAGGAGGAACACTTAATCAAAGCTACCGACTGGAATATTTCAGCATGAAAATAGGTGAGGGAGGGAAAAAATGAAGGGGAAGGAGAAAGTCGGGGTTCCGGGGTTCCGAGCAGTTTTTAAGCAGAACAAAGTTGGAAAGCTGTGCCTGGCAGCCAGAGGCAGCCCAGCACCGGCAGCTTGCTGCCCTCTGTCTCCATCATTTGAAGAGGGGCTGGGAGGCGGGGAGAGATGTTAGTCAATGGACTGAACCACGTCTCCAGGCAAGGCAGGTTTTCATCCGCCAGTTAAATCCCTCCTCGGATTTCCACCCGCACGGGCTCGGGACCCCGTTTGATTTCATCTGTCCTATGACGGGAAAGAGGCCGGCCCGTTTCTGGCATCAGGCACATCGGGTGGATAAATAGCGGAGTGGTTTAATCCATACACACAGCCCACTGCCGGCAAGCGTGTGCTCAACGTGTTAATTGGAGCAGCAGGGAGAAAGCTCGGCAGCTGTTAAAAAATGACACATATACCCACTGGGCATTAGGGTATTCTAATCACTGCTAGATCTAAACATTAAAATGCGCTTCGCAGACAGGTTTCTTATAAAGCTGGCCGGGCTTTATGGCAATAGGCAAACAAAGGGAGCCACATCATGAGCACACTGTGCCACACTCATTTAAAATCCTAGCAGAGTTTTAAAACTTTAAAATTAAGGTATGGCAAACTGTGCTTTGCACAGGAGGAGACCAGAAAAAAGCCTGATGAGGCACTCGCTCTTTTTTCCTGCTGCACGTCCCAATTCCACAGCATTCCCTGAGATAAGGCAGGAATTTCATGCGTGCACCTGATATCATTTCCTTCCCACTCAAAAACAAAGGCAGAGCCTGCTCAAATCTCATCACTGTGCCATCTACCATAGTTTGTCTTGTAAGCCAAGCAAAGTCTCCAGTCCAGCAGGACATCTCCTGGTCACCAGCACAAGCCTGGGATCCATCAGTCACCTTGGTCAATCCATCCTCACCTGCACCCGTGCTGGCAGGAGGTGCAACACAGCTCCTGTGAGCACGAGGGCATCAGACAGTCCTCCTGTGAAACCCATTTTACAGGATCATCACCTGGAAAATGAGCAGCATGCAGAGGTGGGATGAGTCTCTGGTGATGCAGACCCTTCAGTGAGAATCGTCATTTCGCAAAGAGCACAGCAGAACTATTTTTTTAAAAGCTTTAAAAGAAGCGAAGCATAAGCCAGGACTGCGATTTATCATTGTTGCAATAGAAGTAGACAGAGATTGATCAGAATTTAGTTGGGATTTTCTGGTTTTGAAGCACGTGAAAGTTATCAGCAGAGGCAAGCTAGATCTGCTGTCTGGGGGTCCTAAAACAAACACACACTGAAGAAGTTGGAGCTCTTTTGGGTCTGTTCCAGGTTACCAGGTATTTTAAAACAGTATAGTCAGGAAGACCCATTTTAGCCAGAAAAAATAACCAAGCAATGAAAGCACCTACCAAGCTCCCCGTGCGAGTATGCACTAATCCTCCCTGACCTCACCAGCCCCTGTTTTTCCCCTATGGAAATGCCACCGCTGTTGCCAGTTGATGAACACCCTGAGGTCCAGAATTATTTTTAGTATAACTTCTGCAAGGAAGCTACATTTTAGTACATGCCTATTTTTGTCATACAGCTTTCAACTTTGGAAAAGTAAAGAACTTGCAGAAATATTACCAAAAATAATAAAAAAGTAATAAAACTTTTTATGTGGATCTTTAAGAGCAGATTACTGTATGTTCTGAAGGTTTCAAGTCACGTGTCTTCTCTGCGCTCTGCCACCAACCAGCAAAAACATTAAATTAGTATCATGAAACATGAAAACCAAACAAAGACTTAGCCTACAGCAGAGACAGAAATCTCTCTTTGCAGAGATGGAAATGTTGTTTTGATGCTGTATTTGCTCCTGCAGAGTGCTCTCCCTGACAGCTGTGCAAAAAGTTATTTGTAGGTGTCAGAAACATTCAGCTATAAGAGAAGTCTTGCAGACATCCCTGTTTCCTAAAGTTAAATTATAAATTCAATTCAAAGCGGTACAGCTACTTTTCACAAGGGAGAAGAAGGTAAAACTTTCTTCCTTTTAAACCTCCCCGTAAATGAGAGCAGATAAATAAAATGATGCAAACACTTGGCTATCACCAAGTGCATCCACCTGTGCATGGTACCACGGTGGTCGAACAACACGCTGCTGCACGAGCAGCTTCTGCAGGAGCTACAGGCTCCCGTCCTCAGTATGTCCCAAGAGACTCTGTTCTTTCTGTCATAAGAAAACCACACAGACAGTCCCAAAGGCAGTAGCTGCCACCCCATTATATGTAGGCATGGTGTAGGGCACCAGCCAGCTCCTGGGCTGAGAACAGCGGCTCGCACCCTGCAGCTCTGCCCATCCACTGCCACTCTGCAGAGGTCAGGCTCCCTCTGCCATGCCCAAGGGGCAGAAGCAGGTGTTGCCCATGGCTTCTAACCCGTGAGCTGTATTACCAGCACATAATTTATACACCCGCTTCCTTTTGTCTGACTGCAACCAGCAGAGACAAACGATGCCAGCATTTCGCTTTTTAAACCTAGAACAGCAGGAGCTTTTGATAGGATTTTCCCCTCCCTAAAACACTTTGCTGTTTAGGGCAATTTAAAAAGAAAGATGTACCTTAACTGAATGCAATGGTATTGCAGATCAATACCAGTCAAAATATTGTTTTACTACCGAGATTACTGAAAACTTATGTTTCATAAGCATTACATACTGCCTCGACTGCTTTGTTAAGAACACTGGAGACATTCATTAGCTACTCCTCATGTCATACCTGTAAATATTTTATCATAGTCCTACTTTCAGATGTATAAGCAGAGAATTCAGTTTCACAAACACAGTTCACTGTAGTTAAAAAAAAAAAAAAAAAAAAAAGAAAGCTAAAGAAAAGCTAAGGATTGCTCTCCCCATTGCTCAGGATTCACACAGTTCATTCCTTCACGGCCACCTTGCAACTTCATACTTGAAAATGAATAAAAGAACAGAAACATACCAGATGCATACAACAGTTCAAAAAGGCATCTTGATTTTGTGGGTGGAGTAGAGAAAGAATATATTGGATTTAGAATTTTTTAAATGCAAAACATCAGAGATGACAGTGAGTTTCATCCCTTAATGACAAAGAGAATAAGATAATGATGCCCAGAGAGCATAAGATTAGGTGTCAGCTGATATTCTGAAGCTCCCTCTGAACTAGAATTTGGGGATTCAATTTTCTGGTGGTACAACAGAAGTGCAATGTAAATATGTCTGAAGCTCTTTGGCTCATCATTCTCAGTGAATACAGCTACTCCAGTAAAAGAAAGTGCTTTATTGGTACTTCCAAGGTGGCTTTATTAGAAGAATCAAGGATTATCATGCTGTCTCCAGCATGATTTGCCTAGTAAGCATTTTGCCAAGTGACACCGTTTAGCTAATATTTACATTCACCATTCTCATAAGTAATTTGTTTAATTTGTATTACCAAGAAGCTCTGCCAAACTGGATCTGTCTCAGGTCACTGATCTACTGGAGAAGACTTCGCGGCAATAATAAAACAAATATACCATTAAGACACTGTCCCTTCCAAATACTTATGCTGAGGCATAAATGTTCTTGTAGCCATGGACAATGTCATCATTTAAGCACTGACTTTCCTTTGTGTCTACAGCATAGACTGAGTCTCTCATCTTCTAAAATATCCACATGTAACTTTTTACTTGCACACATACAGCTATCCAGTTATCTGGGTAAAATTTCACAGATGACACAACCATCGTCCACAGCACTTTTCCAACATTTGGGGAAAGCAATAGGAAGGAAAAATGTTTTGATATCCACGGATAAGCCACTAAGGTAGTAAATATTTAACAAGGATTTCCATTTGACTGGGCTTGCAAACATGGTGCTTTGAAACCAGAGCCTAAATATGAAGCTAGCCTCTCTAGAATTTAGTACCAGGAATACAAAACGGAACTGGCAGCAAATACTGACAGTATTAAGCAGGTATTTTACATCTCATTCATCATCATGTTTTGGTGTTTAAGAGAAACTATTTTAGGTAGAGGAACACTCCTGTCCCTGTCTCTACTTCTCTGGGCAGCCCCTGGGAGCTCTCTGCAGGGGGCATCCCTCTGGGATGCGTTCGCCCACGAGAGCACACAGAGGCAGCTGGAGAAACCCACCTGCTTCGGGTTACTCTCTTGGAAAATACATGGAATTATACACAGCACAAAACACAAAAATTAGGCTGGATACAACCAGTTTTTGGAGGCTGGCTGAGTATAGAAAGTGATTCTTTTCCCTCCTCCCTCAAACTGCTAACCATAAAGATACCACAAACTTCAAAAGGGAGGAACAGACCTTTTCTTCTCTAGATCTCTTTCAACTGAGAGATGTCTTTGATAATCTGCTGGAAACCAGCAAGAACAGACAAAGGAACTTCCCCAAACTACTCCCTTTATTCATCTTACTGTATCATCTTGCCTGACCTTCTAGTTTTCCAAGAGCAGCTGTTTGTTTACATGTCATAATTGCTCATGTTAAGGCTGCAATTTTCCACTCAAAAATCTGCCCTAAATATCTTGGTGTAAAATGTGAGCTGCTCGAGTTGAAAATCATCAAATGCCTGTGGTTTACAATCTATTAAGCGCTGTAAGAGCATAAGGTTCACATCTGTACAAGCAGTGCCATGTACAGTGGGCAAGGAGGAGCGAGCGGCCTACCACAGCTGCGATCCTGTAGCACCACCTGAAACCCCCGTATGAAACACGCTTCTGAGCACAAGTCTTGTGCCCCTCCTAAAGATGCTTGTGAAGACCACTGAAACCATGGGGGACACTAAGAATTACCCTGTACATCTCTCATTTGACAACAGAAAAAGAAGAATAGCTAGTAGTAGTTTCACTACTACAGTAGTAGTAGTCATAGTTTCACTA